GACCCACACGGTGCTGTCGCCTCCTCCATGCCTCCCTCCCCGCAGGTGCTGCCTGCTGTGCTTTCTCCATTCTTGCCGTTGGATGAGATCCCTTCAGTGGGCATGTGTGTGCCACACAAGTGCTTGGCATGGCCATGTCCCCGTGACCGACACGGGACGCCCGAGCAGCGCCAGCACCCGGGGCCTGGCTGCCATCAGCCACGGCCCAGCCCTGCCAGCACCGCTCTGCCTCGGCTGCAGGATGTGTTTGACACCTTGTGCCAAGCCTGGGAGGAGGAGGAAGAGGAGGGTGACATGGTTTCCCTCCCATGACGGGGACATGCCTTCCAGCAGCTGTGCCAGAGGCGTGCGGCGCAGCAGCTTATCAACACAGCGTGTTTTCCTCCCAGACGAGTCCTCTGGCAGCAGCCAAAGGAGAGCTTAAAAGCTGGCCAAGGGTCATTGTCAAAGGTCCTGCTTTCTCCAAATAATGTCACAAACTCAGTGCTCACATGGATGCTCTTGCAGGAGGTTTCAGAAACTGGGAAAATTACCCAGCTCATAAAGCTGGGAGTGTGGAAACCCTCAGCAAAGTGCAGGGACACTCTCCCACACCAGCCATGGCTGTCCAGCCCCTGTGGATCTGGGACCCACTCTGGAGCATGGGTGGCACCCACCTCCTGCACCCTGGGCTGGGGTCTGCAGTGAGCAGGGGGATCCAGGGAAAGAACCACCAGAGCCTCCATGGGGCTGTAGCAGCCCTCACACGGGTTTCTCAGGGAGCCATTGGATTCCCACCCGGAGCAGGCAGTGCAGCACAGGCTGCCTTGTGCCTCCACACCCAGACCCACCTGTCCAGTGTCCATGTGTATGGCAGGTGTGGGCTGTGCCCTGCCAAGCCGGGCACAGCCAGGCACAGGCTGACAGAGGGCACCCAAGGCAGGTGACCCTTGCAGAGGCTCCCCACGTCAGAGCCTGGTTTTTAATATTTCCTTGTTTATGAGTTTTTCTGTATAAATTGAACATGTGGTTCCTGTTTAAGGAGCTGGTAAAAGGCAGAACAAGGTTTAGTGTTACGGCCCCACGTGAAGGCGGGCAGCTGCCCCGGCTGTGGAGCAGTGAGGCACACACAGGGCTGGAACTGGGGGGTCCCTGGGAAGGGCTTGGCCCTTCCTGCCATGGGGGAGGCTCTGTGTGCCGGACACCCCCTCACCGTGCAGTGTCACAGCTGCTGTGGCTGCTC